GGATATCTCAGATGCCTTTATTCTGGTAACTTCTGTTCTCGGAAGTATTCCAAAACACTTAACTTTCATTACAAAGAAATGCTATGGAAACTGTACAGTAGCCATTCACTTAGTAGCCATAAGATGTGAAAGCCTCAGAGGCTCCTCTGCCTTCAGCCAACCCTCAGAAGCTGTGCCGGGTGGTGTTTTCAGCACCGAGCATAAGCTGCGTTCATGCTGCTTGTTACCGAGGTAGCTGTTGTAATAACTGCTTGTAGAAAACAGCATAACAACAGGTTTTTTTAATCTTAGATCCTCGGCTGCTACAATATGGCAGTGATGTAACAAATTCTGTATATGAAGGAGCTACAGAATAGGGTTTCCTCAGCAGTCTGTTGTTTTGTTGTTGTTGAACAAGAGGATGTCTAGGGCCTAAATTTCACATCTCATTTTCTTTAAGTACAAAAGGCTGACTACCTTGAAGAGCAGAACTCTACCGCCTTCTCTTTTTCCAGCAGCCCCACGTGCTTCCTAACAAGTGTTAAAATGGCAAGCTCACAGCTGTGATTTTGATGTGATCCTTTCCACTTTGATTAGCCCCAGCTTGTTCACAGCTGTAAGCAGTTCCACATAGCACAGTTCTATCTCTGACTTGGAAGAATCACCCTGTAGTTCCTCCACAGTTCTCCATTTCTGAAGCCGTAAGACTACAAGACACAGGCTGACAGGTTTCAACTCTATTTTGCACTTTGGTTTGTGGGGAAATGTTTCTTTCTGGGATAGCTAGCATTCAGGGTGGCGACTAGAAGGAAAGCCTTCGCAACCCCGGGAGAACAGAGCCCTATATTTGGTGTGGTGCTCTGGAAATGAAATGGATGACATCAACTCTCTGAATCTCTCCCTGCATGCTGTTAAACTAAGGCAATTTATAGTCTTACTTGAATTTATTTTAGGTCAGCAGAGTGTTTAACTATGCTATCCAAGAATGGCCTTATATAGCGATTATTTCAGCTATTCTTGTGGGCAGTAGGTTTCTAAATAATCAGTTTGCAATGCCAGATCATTCTCTTTGATTATCCTGAACTGGGAAAGCGGGAGCATGGTACAGATTTTCATAGAGTTCATTTCCATCATGCTGACTTCGCAGCCCAGGTTTCCACAGCAAGATAGTTTAAAGTTAGTTTTACATTTAAAGGGGGTTTAAAGGGCAGGGGTGGGGGAGAATGGAGGTGAAATTATATGCACGCTTTGGTTTGTGCATTGCCATTGTTACATGTGCTTCCGTAACACGCAACTGAGCTCCATTAAAAGCTGTTATTGTTGAGACTGGTCAAATCCCTCTCTTGGGCTGCAGAAGCCCCAGCAATGACGCTAGATTTGAGCAGCATGTGAGGGCTCCCACACACTGTGCATGAGCCCAGTGCTTACCCCTTTCAACCGTACAATAAGGCACCAACATCTTGAAAAGGGGAACTGTGACAATTAGCATGCGCCTCGGAAAATCCCTCCCTCCCTCAGCTGTTGCTGAAAGATCATTCCACAGGGGTACTAGAAAGGGTGAAACAGGAACAACCATGGTCTAGAGATATGAAGGCGTATTAAATAATGAACATGGATCATAAGGCAGAATGGGTAAGATGCCTTCACAACATTCCTG